GTTGGTCCAGCAATTGCTACACCCACTACATCAGGACACCTGCTTCAATACTCCAAGCAGTTCCTGCCCAGCTAGCCGCCACCCATAGTACTCCACTACAAATTTGGGATATAAGCACAGGACAATGTAGACCTTGTTAAAGTTGCACTAATATTTGTCACTATGTACCTGGCAGTATTTGGGGCATAATTTGGGTACACACCTTCCACTTAGCTATCGCCTGCGTCAGGCTGGGTGGGTCCCTTACCCCACCTTATTCTTACCTACCTAAGCAGCTAGGTTGGGGGGCTTTATACTCTGGGTCACTGCGCTATCACCCTAATTCATTTAGTGGGTGTGTCCGCCAACCACCCAAGTTTCTGCTTTGGGGTTTGTGTTCGCTAACCACCCCACGTTGTGTTTATGCTTTGGGGTTTGAGTCCGCTAACTGCCCCACTTTGTTTGCAGGGTGTGTCCGCTAGTGACCCAACTACTAGTGTACAGTGTTTCCTTTCCCTCCTCTACCCCCCATAATAAATTTGGACTACTGGCCTGGGTGCACACCTTCCACTTAGCTACTGCCTGAGTCAGGCTGGGTGGGTCCCTTACCCCACCTTATTCTTACCTACCTAAGCAGCTAGGTTTAGGGGCTTCGTTCTCTGGGTCACGGCGCTATCACCCCAATTCATTCACTGGGTGTCTGCCAACCGCCCAAGTTTCTGCTTTGGGTTTGTGTCTGCTAACCGCCCCACTTTGTTTGCCGGGTGTGTCCGCTAACCACCCAATTACCTGTCCAGGGTGTGTCGCTATCACTCACTCTCATTGCTATCCCAGGGAGCACCTAGTGTCCATGGTCCCATTTACTGCCAGATTTGTCTTGTTATTTTTTGTCCATACAATATTATTAGAGAGCGAGTTGTTGTTAACTGTTAATTTCAACGCAAACATTTGTTGGTGCGGGTTATAGGAAGGTGCGGGTAATGTGATAATTTTTAAATCTTCCAGTATAGTATTAAAACTGTAAGCAGGGAAAAAATATAAGTCTTTAAAGAAACTGGTCCTAAAAAGTGTGTATTGCCTCATTTATCCCGCTTTCATCGCCTGTAGACTTAAATGCTCTCGATGAAAACCGATGCAAATTGAAAACATATCAACGAGTGTCGTTGGCAAACAAAATTTTTTATCACAAGTGTGCTATTACTTTCTTACCTTGCTAATTTCATAGCTTGTTTCTTTGTTTAGTTGAAAATAAAAATATTATTCACTAACTGGAATGATAAACTCAGAAAATAAAAGAATAACAATGTGAAATAGCAGGCTTCAAAGTAATTCGCACAGAAAAAATGATGCTGACTTGTTCATTTCATGGCATAAAAGGTGATTGTCGGCATGCGTGTAAACAAACATTCACAGACAACATTTTAAAACACCAGAATACTCGGTGCATCAGTAAAATATTCCTAGCAAACACTCCCTTGAGGTAGAGAGTATTTTCCTGTTTCAAGCGATTTCTTAGAGTCAGAGTAGATCCTGAGATATTGATTTTTCTTGGAATGGATTTTTACAAGTGGTATCATTAAATGGAAGATCAAAAACAATGGGCATGAAAACTTACTAATTACTTGCTAAAGGATATTTTGTTAACAAAAACAATGGATGAAGTTTTTATTTCATTCAAAACATTATAAAAAGGTCATTGACTGAATGAGAAATACACAATTCAATCATTTACAATAAGTGTAGCCATGAGTAATTTTGAGTCAAAATGCCCGGTGTTAGACACGCACCTCAGAGTTTCACTTTTGAGTGTAAGCTCAAAGTTGCTCATGCAGATGAAATTGGAAACCGAGCAGCAGCAAGAGAATTTGAAATCGACGAATCCATGATCCACTACTGGCAAAAGAAAAAAGTTGTCATGACAAAGCTGCCTAAATGCCAACGCACCTGCCGTACTGGCATCGCCAAATTTCCTGCATTGGAAAGAACATTGGAAGAGTGGATCATTAGTCAAAGAGAAAACAGCCAAGCTGTCACCACTGTCATGATCCGTCTAGAGGCCAAAGAACTGGCAAGGCAGATGAATGTCGCTGACTTTGTAGGAGGACTGAGCTGGTGTAGCAGATTTATGCACTGAAATCGCCCATCTGTGCGTTCAAAACCAACCGTGGGTCAGAAGCTGCCGGAAAGCTGGGAAGAGAAGGTTACAAACTTTCATCAGTTTGTTTCTCGATGAAAGGAGGAACTCGCCATACAAGCGGATTGTGTTTTCAACATGGACGAAGTGCCTATGTCATTTGATGCTCCATATTCCAGAACAGTTGACACAACTGGAGCTGAAAGTGTTCCTGTATCAACCACTGGTCACGAGAAAACAGGCTTCACTGTTGTCCTTGCATGCTCAGAGTCCAGGAAAAAGCTCAAGCCAATGGTCATCTTTGAGAGAAAAACAATGCCGAAAGAAAACGTCCCCAATGGTGTGGTTGTCCACTGCCACAGCAAAGGATGGATGGATAGAGATGGAATGGCTGTGTGGGGTGAGAAAGTTTGGCATCCAAGACCCGTGTCCTTCTTTGACAGAACCTCTCTGCTCGTCTTCGACAGTTTCAGCGCACATATTGACGAAAATGTTCGCAACACTTTCAAAACTGAACACAAAAGAACTACTGCAGTGATTCCTGGAGGCCTTACCAAGAAATTGCAGCCATAAGACATTTCTGTTAATTGGTAATTCAAGAACCATGCTTGTGAGGAGTGGGAGAAGTGGATGTCTGAAGGAATTCACACCTTTACCGAAACTGGAAAGATGAGAAGGGCCACAAGCGGAAGTCTGCAATTGAGTAATTCATGCGTGGAAAGCAGTGAAAGTCACTACAATCACGAATGGCTTCAGAAAAGCAGGAATTACACATGCTCCCGGTGCCAGTGAGGATGATGGGAGTGACGCTTCTGAAATCAGCGATGATGTACAAAGTACAACAACTCTAGATCCTGTCCTCGATGCACGATTAATTGACCTGTTTAACAGTGACACTGAGGATGAAGACTTTGATGGATTTTGAACTGAACTGATAGCATTTGGAATGAACATTATATTAAACATTTAATAACCTTGTGAAGAGGTTTTTGAACAAACAAACCGTCATTTTAGTGTAAATTATTCAAGTATTTAAGTATTTTAAGCAAAGACGTGCATTTCTAGGTGTCGCAAAAAGATTTTGTAAGTCGCTTTAGCTAGTCAAATTAAAAGTATTGTTGTTTATTTCAAAACTGCAGTTGTTTTACCTTTCTTTGTTTGTGCACCACCTCCCACCCCCCATCAAATTGGAAAATTTTACACTTGCCCCAGCTCCCTTTCAACCTATCTAAAATGGCGGACCTCAACGATTGATCAACCAAATAGCATTTCACTGCCTTCTGACAACTGTAAACATAAATGAATTGGATATTTTACCTGATAAATTAAAAAATAAGAAGTTCATGGCTAAGGAGAGTTTTTCCACCTCTGAACTGGCAGCTGAGCGAAAAGTTTATCGATCCTTGGCTTTAAAAAATCTACACTTGTAAGGGCTATACACTGTCATGAGGGCTTATCATCACTCTAACTTTGTGAGTTCATGAATTTCTTTTGTTTTTGGGTGCGGGTTATCTCCCAGTGCGGGTAATCTGTTGAAATTTTTTTTCTTGTTAATGCAAACAACGACCAATGTGGTTAATCTCCCAAGTGGGTAAACAAACGGAAATTACGATAATAAAAGTGTGGTTTTAGGTTTAAAAATTGACAAAAAACCATGGCCAACGCAAAAGTGCAGTGAGGCAGAAAAATTAACATCAAAGAAAAAAAAACTAGTTGAGAGGAAGCAGAAACTGATTAGCACCTAAACCGGATGTATGAGGGTATCTCCTTATATGGCATCACAGGAAATGGTGCTCTTAGCATACGGAAATGTAAGAATTTCTTCGCGTGGGAAATTTCTATGTGAGGATTTCCACAAGCAGCAGACATGGTTGGTCACATGCAGTCTGCTAGTTCTGTTCAAGAAATTGTCGACACAGTCATCAACTACTTGAGCCACTTGCCGCGACAAGAAAATGCACTTCAAACCACAACATCAAATGCTGACACTGGAAATGAGGTGTCAGTGACTTCTGAACTAAACCAGGCCTTCTGAATACCAAGTGCATCCACAAGCACGACCGTGCAAGCGATTTTGCCATCAACAGTGGCATCTATAAGGGCTACTTCAAATAACTTTTCAGCAACTTCCAATTATGGAAGGACCGGAAGAGATTAAAAAAGATGAGGGAGATCACAGGCCCACAAAGGGCAATTTCAGCCATACGGCCCCCAGAAAAATCAAAGATCAACATGGGATGTGACTGAACCAAGTTTGTTTTACAAAGATGTCCGTCTTCTCACTTGTCCTGAATGGGAGGTTCCACATGGGGAAGAAAAGGCAGATTTGATTCAGAAAAACCGCTGCGTAGATGCATGGCCAGTGGTTAAAGATTGGAGTGCAGCAACTTTGAGGCAGGAGATAAAAAATCTTTTTTTAATGTGCTCTGAAAAACTCAAGTGGTAATAATGTGATGTGAGCTAATTAAGCTAAAGTAGCAAGACTTAAATAACAATATTAACAATAATAATGAAGATTTAAAATAAATGGTGAAGAAATATTTTGCTGCAAACAGAGTGCTTCTTTAAAACATAGGTATTCTAATGCTGTTGCTATGGAAATGTCACATACCACAATCAGAAAGTCTGTGTGTACAATAAATGCTTTTATAAATCATCAGGTAATATTCATTGTTGTTATACAATGCCCAGTTATATGTACATGTACCAGAACATTGACGAACATAAGCTTTCTTTTTAATTTAACACCACACCTGTGCCATCATCATTAATTTTTCTTATGGCTCTCACAAATAAGCTGTGTATTGCACTGTGATAACACACTCCAGACATTTGATAACACTAGAGAAATGTAGAAAACACTCGCCTGCAGCTTGTGCTTTCTATATTTCCCTTGTGTTCTCAAATGCCTGTCGTGTTTTGTCACAGTGTAATACACGGCTTTGACCTTTCATGCATGCTGTTGTTCTAGAAAAACAAGATAATTAATTAAAATACAGTCACGTGCTTATTGTCTCACTGCCAAACTGTGAGCTCCTGGGATGAGCATGGGCTGGAAAGAGAGCAGACTGGAAATGAGAGAGGCTATGTGCATTTGCTCTGTGAAGTAGCGTGAATTTTTCAAGCCTGTGGATTCCTTACGATTGAGGTAAGACAAAACACTTTATCTTCTGATCCTTTATGGTCTCAAAACTGCAAAAAATATTGAAAGTGTCTTCAACGACCTTTTCTCTAAAGAGAAACTAAGACTGAAAAAGATGTCTATTCCTGACTTGAAGCGTGAGGGATTTTTTACATAATGTTCCTGAACAACACCATGTAGCAGGGGGTAAAAATCCCTCCGAAATGTCACTATTTTGTGACTCTTTTGTTTGTTATAAAGCAATACTGCAAGCCTATTAGATTTGTTTATATTGCTACAAACATGATTAAGACCTCCATGCACTTATGGAACAAGAGCATGCTTTTTTAGTGAAAGATATTTAATTACTTTCCCCTCATATTTTTTCTGTATTTTATGCACACTTACTTCAATTGAGACATCTCAGCCCTATTGAATTTTAATTTGTACTTTTTCAAAGCCCTAGAAATGTTCACCATGCATTTCTATGATTTGAGGGCATAATGAATTATTAATTTGTGTATCACTTTATTTTAACTTTCCATAACTTTGCATCTGCAGATATTATTTATAAACAATGGCTACGTCTGGTCCTGTCACATTCTCAACAAGGTTATGATAAACTGGCAAACATTCTTGCTGAAGAAAGTGATTATTCAAGCTCAAGTGAAGACGAAGGCGATAGTGATTCATATGAGGACCAGAATGTTGATATGGTTACCGATTTTGACACTGAGAGTTCTGATGAAGAAGGTGAAGTTGGAGGAAGCTCCAAAACTGGAAAGACATCCCAAAATTTCAGATGGTGTAGGCGGCAACCTGTCGTTTATGACGTGGTATTCAGGGGTGAGCCTTTTCCTCCACCACCACTAAGATAAAACCCCATATCAATACTTCAAGCAGTTTTTTGATGATGACCTAATTGACCTCCTTGCAGATCAAACAAACCTGTACTCAGTACAATCAACAAGACAAGTAAAAACAAACGATATAATCTTCTGACGTTTCGGCGACCTCATGATGCCATTATCAAGGGTAATGAGAATTAAATTAACAAATGCGAGTTCAAGGGTTATAACTAATTTACATAGCGGAGGTGGCTACACAAATACTTTAGCACGGATAGAATCCGTTTACACGTTCAAACTCGGTGTTAATTGTTTGATGTAAAGAATCTCGTCGACAAGGCAATCGAATTTGTTCATGCATTTCTTGAGAACTTTGAAACAGCTGAGGAGGTCCTCAGGGACAGCACCCGCGTGGT